GCCTTCCTGGGAAACGTTTCGCCAAAAGTGGCCGTCGTCAGCCCACAGCCACAGCCGTGGTCCAAGGCGTCCGCGAAGAAGGCCCCTCCGCCCACGCGCCCCAAGCGGAGCGACAGCACCCGCCTCACGCTCGCCGAGGCCCCCGAGCCGCCCGCCGCCGCCCCGGTCGTGCCGCAAGTGCCCACCTCCCCCAAGTCCAGCCTTAGCGTCCAGCCCGGGTTCCTGGCTGACCTCAACAGGACCCTGCAGCGGAAGTCCATCACCCGGCACGGCTCGCTCTCCTCCTCCCGCGTGTCCAGGGCCGAGCCCACAGCCACCATGGACGACATGGCGCTGCCCCCGCCGCCGCCCGAGCTGCTGTCGGATCAGCGGAAGGCCGGGTACGGAGGCAGCCACATATCAGGCTATGCAACCTTGCGGAGAGGGCCCCCTCCCGCGCCCCCCAAGAGAGACCAGAACACCAAGCTCTCCAGAGACTGGTAGCTACGTAGGACTTACTCTCACGGTCCCTGTAATCAGTTCTACACTCACTCACCTGGCCATCGGGGCATTCGGGTGTTCAGAGCCTTCTGGTGTGTTATTCAGGTAGTGTCCAGCCGTGCGCGTGCGTGTGTACACATAGCTATGCCGTGTGTGTGTGCGTGTGTGCGCGTGTGTGTAGCTGGGAGTGATCCTATTTATTCCTTTTCTCTCCTAATGGATTTTCTCTAAATGGATTTTGTGTTTTTGGGGCAGAAGAGGCATGGAAGTGGATGCGTGTCCTGTCCCTTATGATTTCTATTGTGTGTCATGTGGATTGGACCAAAAAAAAAATTCTGACGACTTCTTTAGAAGGTGTAAGTCCACGTGCGGCTACCTGTGCATGTTGTGTATGATATATTAGGTAGATGTATAATGTGCTGTTTCTCAGTTTGAGAAGACAACCACAATGTTTGGTGTATCTATAGGGCTTTTGTGTTTGTTTTTTCCCCAGTTGGCTCAAGTTAGAACTGCTTGATTGACACTTCATTACTAAACATAAAGGGGCACTTTAATCAGGAAAGTCTCTCAGCTTCAAAGAACGGGTCATTAGTGCAGTTTGGGGAGACTTCAGGCACTGTCCGCACACAGTTGTGCACAGGAAGCACGTACGTGGCGTAACTAAACCATTCTGGTTGCGTACCGCTGCAGTGATCTGCCTGAATCTAGGTGTGTTCTTTCACAGGTAAGCTCTTTGCCTACAGTACGTGGATAATGTAGTACTAGGATCGTGGACAGTTCTTTTTATACTGCTGGAACCTTTTCATGGGCTTTCATCAGATTTGGCTTCACAATCCTTGCTTTGGCTCATTATAACAGAATATCCAACACAGTACCCTGGAACATTCAGTTCGTATGTCTTTGGGTCACCAGTTATAACTGCTTTAGGTAGGTCTTGATCTTAGGTACCTGTAGACAGTTGCTATATCAAATACACCCATCCTGTGTCCAGTACAGTGCATCATTAAGAAAAACACAATCACCTTCTGAAATGTCTGTATTGCTCTCTAGAAGGTTGGATTACAGAAAGGAACAAAATCACCCCTGTGCAGGTATCATTAGTCAGGTTGTACTTGGATTGTAATGTGTAATACAAAGAATTCCTTTAAGGTATGGGACTATCATAGGAAGTGAAAAAATGAACGAGGTTTTGGTACTGGGGCACACTAGGATCCTTGCTTTCTGCAGCCAGGTTGTGGAGACTTGTCCAGGTTGCCAGGTGTTCTGTGGGAGTAGTGTAGTCCAAGTACAGTAAGTGACATTACATATCATGCATGTGCAATCTGGCGTAATATGAAATCATTGCTCTAATGACACACTAATCTTGTATGTTTCACACTACACTTCATGTGCTTTTCATTTTTTCCTGTGAATTTTCCTTTGAGAGAAATGTGATAAATTGATTAGAAATAAAATGCAACCTCAGAGCTGCTCTTAAACAAAAGAAGAAAAACTAGCTATCCCAGAAATAAATGAGCAAGCACGTCTTATAAGCAGTCTCTGCCTGTCGTAACTAAGGATTCCCAGTGCAACTGCAGAAATCTTTGACTCTGTCCTGTAAGGAAAACATGCTGATGCTGTGAAGCAGGTAGTAATTCAAGAACGTGTGCGGTGCACACCCATATAGCCCACTCTCCAACAGTGTTGCATCTTAGAGTGACACCTACCTCTCCATCGCTACATCTGCAGGATACTGTTCAGTATACTCACGTGGTTATAGAGCACTAAGAACATACACCATTGTGCATTTTTTAAAGCCCTGCTTCTTTAAAAGATACTTTTTGGATTTTTTCAATTGTTCACAAGGTTTGTGTGCTTGATACTGTTGTGCTTATGAAGTGACCTTTAACATCTGCATTGTTAATTTAAGCATGCACAGCAACTTGGGTAATGTGTGAGTACAGATTGCCAAGCTCCAGTGTGAGTCATGAGTGAAGTAACTTCCTATAGTCTCTGCCTGCAGTTTTATATTCTAAAAATCACTCTTGTTTGTGAGGTAAAAGAGCTATTAAGAATATGAATCCAATGATATATTCATCACTAGGGCTTTTTATTGTGGTGGTGGTGTTTTTTACATGAAGGTGGACAACTTCAGCTTTAATGTACCTACAATCCATGATTTGAGCCCTAAGATACAGCCTGTTTTTTTCAGCGTGAGCTTTCCTGGCACTTCTTGTGTCAGTGCCGACAGCAGCCATCCTGGACTGATGCTTTTGGTGTATCATTTTCCTGAAAGAGCAGACATCCTTTAGAACAAACTAGGGACACCAAGAAGAGAGCTGGGTGAGAGGAGGAACTGTCATTTTTACCCCAGTCCATTGGCTTGTCTGACAACAAGTGTTTACATTTCTCCAAAGGTGAAAAAGGCTTCTAATCAACTTTTTCCCCTTATGTGTGAAAATGAATGAAAAGACAAAACAAAACGATACTTTAGATTATATCCAGTGTTCAACTCCCTAGTGGGTTGTTTTTTAATTTGGATTTTTGTTGGGATGTAGCTTTGTGGAGTGTTGTTTTTGAGACTACTCTTGTTATTTTTGCAGTGGTTCCTTTTCTCTGGTTTGTTCATGGTAAACCCTACTGCCAGATGGCACTAGCTCCGTGCCTTCTTTCACTGCCTCCTGCTCAGCAGCTCCAACCCCAGCATAGATTCTCCAGGTCAAAGAAAACCTGGACAGTTGACTTGCCTGTACTGAAAATGAATAGCGTGGATGACGCATCCTGCTGTTGAGGGCAGTGCAGACAGGTGCCTAGTAGAGCTAGTGACTTGGTTAATTAGTGACACCCTTAACTTTACCACAGAATTTCAAAATTGGATCACCCTATGCTTAACGTTTTGGTACCAAATCTGAAGGTCAGCAACAAATTTTAGGTTGTTCTCTATTGAAATTTTATCAGCTTGGCTTTTGTTACTTGAATAAATACATACTTTTTTTCCTTAGCTACTGTAATTCTCACTTGGGAAAAGTAACTATTCTTAAGGTTTTTCAGATACCCACTTAATAAATTGGATTTTTAAAATTTGAGACTTTTTAAAATGAGAAAGATTGCTGACTCTTAAAAGTTATAGGACATGATTTTAATCAGAAAATTTCAAACAAAATAATGTAAGCAGGGTGTTTTCCAGTCCTCTAGAATCAAGGTGCTGCTGGCCACTGATGGCATATTCTGCTAAGGGCTGTGAACTATCTTAGAAGTCCCCCTCCCTGTGTAAGTTTACTTGCCACTGAGTTTATCAAGAAATTTTAAACAAAATTAGAGTGACGACTCTGAGATCAAGGTTAGTAAGAGCTGTGCATCCAATTAGAGTTCAAAAGCTGCTATTCTGGTAAAATACAGTTGTTAATAAGATTGTGTCAAAAATGTAAAGTCATAAATTAGCCTGAAAAAATTTTCAGGTGATGATGTGGATTGGTTTGATTTGACTTTCAGGTCACCAACAGAACCTTTTGTCACCTTTCTTCCTCTCCTAAAAGCAATCTTATGTTAAAAACACAAGGTAATTTTAAACAAGTAAAAAATATTTTCCTAGTTTTATATGTTATAGCAAATTTTTTAATATACCTGCAGAGCTAACAAATTAAAACTGATGTAATCTCACAGATTTTACTCAAGTATAGACCAAGTAAATCTGAATGACCCTGACTTGCTTTAAATGAAATAGGAAGTAATTTGGATTCATACATTTGATGAGAGGATTCTCTCTCTAAAAATCATTTTAGGTTGCAAATAACTTTTGCACTTCGTTTTATACACTTTTACATTTTTGTATATAACAGGATATCCCTGACCCTGTAGGGATATGACTACTCAAAGTTGAGATTTGATCTACAGAGATGCAAGTAGAACAAAATTAAATATCCCACTACCTTTTAAGATTTATTTTCCTTTAAAAATTCAAGAGAAGTACATTTCTACACCTTACCAGTCCATCCCTTAAACAAATGCTCTGTTGTATCCTTGGAAGGTCTATATGTAAAAGAAATCTGATATTTAGCTGTAAAATAAACTTGCTAAATAAAAATAAGCAAACAGTATACTTGATAAACACTTGAAGGAAAAAATCTCCAATTGGTTTGCTCTTTGCTTGTTCAAGTCATAAACCATTTTGAAGAGAAAACAGTATCTGCTCTAATCCCCAGTGCCTTGAACTCTTTGGGAAGAGAATAGCATTTAAAAAAGTGTAACAAGCAAACTAAGGTGCTAGTGAAAGAAAGGTATTTCTAGTTTACGCAAAAGTAGAAAAAGTGACTCACGAGATGGCTCCATCTGCCTAAACGAGGCCTGGCTGCTTTCTACCAAAGACACTGAGAGAAGTGGGTTGAGTTGGTGACATGGAACACTACTTAGTTAAAAGATAGCAAAGTTCAGAAGTGCGTATGTTGATCATAGATGGCTGTTAATACCAAGCTCATAAATGTTGAAGCCTCAACCTCTTCATAGACAGAATATGCTTGCAGCACTTAAAGGAAAAAAAAATCTTTTTGGGAACTGTCCATTGTTAAATTTATTGTAACCTAATACCAAAAACTGCCATTTTCCATGACTGCCGTCTCCTTTATTTTTTCTTGTAAATAATTGCTCCTAGAAAATAAGCATTAACTGGAATGTTTCAAATGATTTTGCTTAATTTTATTATCAGCCTCTAGTGAACTCCTTTTATAGAAATGTACATTTAAAATAAAATGTCATTAGCTTGTGCTAAATGGTGTAAAAACAGTTGTTTACTATTTTAAAGGAAAATTGCACATAATTTAACTGGGATTGCCTCCCTCTCTTCCCATTTCTTTAAAAAATTAAGTCAAGGCTCACATTGACATGTAGGCTGTGGGAAGCTTTGCTATAAATAAGTAAATAGATACAATGTAGGAATGTACTTTTAAAAAGCATGACAAAGACAACAAAAGGAACTGCATTATAAAGTACCCAATAGAGGACATTATTCAAAGGATTATGCACAGCTCGGTAAAGATGAAGTTACAATTTTTTTTTCAGCTTTGTTGCTGTTATTTTCTTGTGTTTAAATGTACGCTCTCATTTCATCATGTGCCTTGCTCCCTGATTGTGCAAACCTATATATATAGATATATATATAGATATATATATGAGAGAGATATATTCAGTACTACTGACGATGTTTTTGTCCTACTGCTGGATTAAGTTATTTTCCAAGTTACTCTTGCCAGTTACTGTCAGTGAAGTATTGTAATGGCTTAGGACAGTAGTCATACAGTCAGTGTAAATTCATTTTTCCAGTTACATGTTTTCACTATGTCAGCCAACCCAATCCTTAATAAAAATAATACATAGATTTCGTTTAAACATGGGGACTTGACTTTACTGTTTGCGGATCGGCACCATTAAGAACCTGTTCTTGCTATTTACGCTGGGGTACTCAAAATAGGTTGGTGCAGTTAAGAACAAATTAAGTGTGAAATTAAACAAACTAGGGAGCTTTGGTTATTAAATGTTTTTTCTTTAAACAGAAGTACAAACTACTACAAAGGCATCCTTTTTGTTCAAGGATCACAATTTGATATCACAATTATGTGGACTGCCATGTGAAGGTATGTATTTACAGATCACTTTATCATTCACTGAAACTAGGGTAAAAAATAGAAGCTCTCCTTTTTATATTAAAAGAATTACATGTATTTGGGGAAAAGTGATCAGAAAACTCCAGGTTCACTTACAGCAAAAATAGTGATAGAAAATAACTATTTAATAAACAGCTGTCCTGAAGAAATTTCACAGAGATGAAAATTGATTTAAGGCTCAACATTTTAAATATTTGAAGTTTTTAAGACATAATAAAAAGAAGCTACTGGTTTTGAGCAACAGAGAGAAAAGAGGTTACTTGCATAAATATATTCACAAGACACTTAGATACACTTTGTGGAATTTTATTTAGGTCAAGTTCTTAGTACACAGCAACAATTCCAAATACAATTTCAAAATTAAAAAGTGGATGCTCCCCCACTCATGGAGGTGATTTAATGGCACACACTAGAAACATTACTGGCAACAGAATGCTCCCTCAAAGTTTTCCTGTGTGGTTTTTACTCAGAACACCAGCCCTCTCTCTGGGAGCTAAAAGTACAACTGGCCAGATCACAAATCGTTTACATTCTTTTTGTAAACCATTTTGTTGTTAAGAAAAAAAGATGCAGGGACACAAAATATGATAAAAACTGCTTTTTCACAGAATTCCAAAGTTGTAAAAGACATTTCCATTTTAATGTGAAAATAAGCTTTTTGGTTTTGGGGGGTTTTTTACAAAAAAATCTCAAGATCTTTAGCAAGGTCATTTGTCAGTTTTTTAATAAGAACTATGCGATTCTGAGTGAGAAGCAGGAACAAGATCAGCATAAAGTAAACCTAAGGTGATGAGTGCCGCGCCTCCGTTTCACTGTTTTGTAAGGCTCTCAAATAAGGCTGTGTGCTGGGCTCCTACCAGTGCTGAAATGTTTCTGCTGCGTACACCTAGTGGAAAAGGCCGTTTGTACCAAGTATAGTTTTAGAAGGGTTAAAAATGAAGATTTTTCAATAATTAAGGTCGCACTTAGTATACTCCTTTAAACAAGTTTAGTTTAAATAATACTCTGGTATTTATTGAAACAGCATAGCTTTTCAAGTATCTTCCTGAAGACATCAAGGAGAACTCTTAATTTTTAAAGAAACAGCACATTCAATTAAGACACTTGTAGAAAGAGTAACAAGTAGCACTGAGTCCGACTTTACCGCTACTAATTAGCTGTTGTCTGAAACATAACCTCGTCAGTGAAATGTGTCTGAACTAAAATTTCATCTGGCTTTCAAATTCTATGATCCTAAGTAAATCATGTGAGGGAAATTACCACCAATCAAGAGTTCCTGGACCAAGTAGTTCGGAAGTGATTCAGATCCCCATTCTTTCAGAGATTTGGCAGTCACCTGCCAATTCTTCCATCAAATCCTTTTCAAGGGGAAAGGTGGCCTTGCTCTCTCCACCGAGCAAGAAAAGAATAAAAATTAGAAAATAGTTCCTAATGCAGAAAGGTCACCTGTTAAAAGAAAATGAACACAAAAGGATAAAAGCAAACTACCATCATTTTGATGTCTCTAAATTAATCATCTTCAACCTAAGACTGCCAAGGAGAATAGCTCCGTTACAGAAATCCCTGTGAAGATGAAGGACATTCTAGCTGGGTAATCAACGGAAGCGGGAAGGGGAAGGGAGGGATAAAACGTCTCACGTAGCGACTTCTAGGAATAGAGGAGAAGTAGCAGGCCCTTGCCAACCCTATTGGTGCCCCTGAGGGAGACAGAAAGCAAAAAGCCAAAAGATAGAAAATACTGAACAAGAAAAGATATTTATTTCAAACACAGCAGGCTGAATCTCTTAAGATTTTTGACACGTTGATACTTATTCAGATTTACTGCCTTGGCTAGGTCAGTGACAAGAGTATTTTCATTCATACCACCATGGCCTTTCAAACAGTTATACCAAAAAAATAAATAAATAAAAAGGAGTGACAAAAAAAGAACAAACTCGTAAGGAAATAGGGAGTGTCCAGCAAGTAAAAAAGGAACATTTCAGAAGGAAAAAAAATCCCTCCCCCATTAGATTCTATCCTGATCTGGTTGCTTACTGGTCAGCAGATTGAGACTTGGATTCTATATGCCACAATATTATGTAGCATGTAAGGTTTCTACATTCATTTGGAATTCCTACTGCCCACCGTCTCATCTCGTTTATAAAAAGATAAATGGGGAAACTTACAATAAAACAAATACTACCCTCACAAACTATTAATAGCATGCAATCTATGAAATATTACATATATTAAAAGTCTCCCATTACGGTAGGCCTGGCCCATCATTACATAGTATCTTTCCAAGACAATATATAGAATTCAAAACTGTACAAAAATTTAAAGTATGCAGAAAATCCAATGTGTTTTTAAAACAAAAAATCACTCACATTAGTACTAAATAATATAGAAAAAAGTTAGCTAACCCATGGATTCCCCCTGCTACAGGTCTTCATCACCACCAGTGTCCTCTGCACTCCCCAACCCAACAGGCAAGCCGACCGTCACCAACTCTTGTTGCACAGTCTGCCGTTGGTATGAGCTATGGAACTATTTGTTGAATTTCAAATTACCCTCTTATTAAATCCACTAAGTTTTCTCAGCAAAAAGGTATTGAAATAAATAACTAGAATATCTAATTTTAAAAGTTTTCCTAGTTATACACCAACACTAAGAGTTTAACCTATCCAAGTATAGTCTAGGTTGGGTCCATAACAAAACTGATGGCTCGGACACTCAGGACCATTGCTTTAAAGGAAAACGGAATAAAGGATGTTGAGATGACCTCACATAGGCATGGCAGCAAAGCTAAATTCAAAAGGTTGAAGAGAGCTAAAAGCAAAATAGCTGACTTGCAACATGTTGGGGGAGGGCAGGGGAAGAACTTGCAGCTTTACGACACGGAGTCTTGACGAGGGAGCTGTATATCTGGGTCTCAGTTAAATGGTGATGAAGTTCTGTGCTCAGATAGATTCACAGGTGGAATGTTCTGCCTACACCATCTGAATTCCCTCACACTACTACACATTCACTTTTCAATCAAGTTCTGCTATCTACACTACCTCATGTTCAAGGCTTACATGTCAAATACAGTTGACCCTTGAGCAACACAGGACCCGTGTAATTGAAAATCCACCTATAACTTTTGACTCACACTTACTACAGTCAGCTCTCTGTATCTGTGGGGGACTGGTTCCAGGACCCCCCCACACACACATACACACAAACAAAATCCTTGGATGTTGAAGCCCCTTAGGCAAACTGGTATAAAACAGTGCACACAGTTTGTCTTCCACATCTGTGGGTACCAACTGCAGACTGAAAATTCTGTTTTCGATCATAACTAGTTGAATATGCAGATGCAGAATCCAGGGATATGGAGGGCTGACTATACATTTATTGAACCCCAGTGTAAGTGGGCCCGTGCAGTTCAAACCTGTGTTGTTCAAGGGTCAACTGTATATGCAGCTATTGCCCCTCCCCTTTGACGCAGCTCAGGGAGGTCACCTGGCAAAGCTCTCTTCTGGCCAAGTCACTGGAACTGGGAAGAACCCATGACAGCTTTGGGCCTTGACATAAGCTAGTTCATCACTAAGTATTCACCTGCTGAGCAGCAAAGCCCTCCTGGATTTTTAGAACATTTCTTATATTGACCACAGAAGTGATTAAAGCCATCTGACTCACAAACTCCACTGAACTTGAAGCTATAGTTGGGCAGATAAAATATACTGTTTCTCTCAAAGTTCTATCAGTTTTTAATATATGTAATTGGATATCTATTTGGCCTTATCCCACTATTCTTAGGCTGAGATACAAAGTTCAAATTCGTACCAAAGGATGCTACTTCAGAGGCCAACCACAAAATCAGGAGAGTATTTCCCTTTTGTAGAGCTCAGTGAGTAGACAACTCAGCAGGAGCTAACACTGGCCACTAATATCACTCCAAGATTACAGTAGCAAGCCTTTTATTCCCAGTAGCTGTCAAGAAACTTGAAAATAACTATTTTCCAAAAAAGAATGTTTTTCTCAATAGTGAAATCAGTAAAGAAATAGTTGGTCTGAATTCCAAAATCATCATCCTCAAACCAGCACCTAAGGCAGCGCATTTCTACGTCAAATCTCTTCAGAACCTTACAGAACCTTCACACCAGCTTCACCCACCTGCTTCAGCGTGAGCCGGGCTACCGTGCTTCACACATCTGGGTAATGGCCCTTAATGGCAATGCAGTCTCATGCTGCAGCAGCACATTAAAATCACACTGGCAATTGTCAACCACCCTCAGAATGTTGGGAGACTCATTTCATCATCTACAAACTGAGAAACATGATGGGATGCAAGTCAGTTCAGCCTTCACTCTGGTGCACACAAGTGCTGAGAGAATGCAGAACTTACAGTGTGAGAGGAAATGAGCCACCTGAAATAACTAAAAATGGTTAAGTATGGTATTCAAATATCGGTTCCCTCCTCATACAGGTGGAAAAAAGTGGGGTACGCAGTAAACCACAAGGCTAACCTTTAGCACAGGCACTGAAGACCATCCAATGCCACAGATTCTGCAAGAGAAATCCCACGGGTATACAGTATTCCTGAGAAAGATCCCAGATTTTGTTCTGAATCAGTCTTAACCTGATTTGTTTTACATAGTTATGCTGTTATACCTCCGACACATTCAGAAATGGTCACTTTATTTCAATCCAGACAGCTTAGCATAGTACAAATGATGACAGAAAGATCCATTTGTTCACACTCAGCTTGTTTTTTTGTTTTAATACTGGGGGGTAAACCGGAAAAAACGTAAGTAGTTTTTATCATTTGTATCCTTCATTCACTTCCCTGGAGGTGAATCCCAGGGTCTTGTGACAATCTGGGAGATCCTGACTACTCCTGTGCGGGACACAGCCCACTGAGCTTACTCAGAATAATGCATGATGGACTCGACATAATTCCCAGGGAAGAGCCCAGTCACTCCATTCATAACCCCCTCGTACCAACCATCGTCGTTCTTCTTGATGACATAAATGATGGCTCCTTCCTGAAAGGACAGCTCGTCTTCCTTGTCTTTTGTATAATCATAAATTGCCACAACTAGAGGGGGAAAAAATAGGATGTGAAAAATAACATTCCTCCAAAGAGAGAACCAGATCAATGAATAGCCATCCTTTCCCAATGTCTATAGCACTTCAAACAGTGATTTCCTAAACATAGGCCAAAAACTTTTTTTTTCCTAACACCCTGTCCTGTAGAATGGGATCCCACCTCCTTGGGGAGGTTAGTTCCAAACAGTATAAATGGCAAAAAGTCAGTAAAATTACCCTCCAGCAGCCTACTGGAAAATACCTCACAGAAGAGAGAGACACAATCCCTGAATCGGGGAAAAATGACTATGTTGTGTAAAAACATCTTTAAACATTAGAATTACACTAGTGCAGGGAGATACACTACGAGAGGCAAGTGAGAAAAAGAGACAGACTAAAGGAGCAGCAAGCAGATTTACATCTCATTTTCTGGAGCCCATGCTTATTCAGAGGAGGAAAATGGTTGGATTCCCACAGGTTTTATGTGCAAATGATGGGAATCCACTATATATATAGTCTTTCAAAAACACATGCTGTATTATGCTACCAATTTAACACATTCCTGTAATACACTAAAAGTGTTATGAAAACCAAGACATCTGTAAGCTCTCCTGAGATTTTCACTGCTTAAACAATTTGGTAACCAATTTGTTACCTGGGACAGCTTCTGGTTCCTAAGTGTTACATCTACCTCAACAGTTCAGTTAAATTGGCATAGCCTACTTGCTCAAATCCACTTGAATATTTGTTTTTTTTGTAAAAAGATCACTCAGAATTTCACTCAACAACAATCTCCATCTATCCATCATTCTGAGAACCATATACTGACTTTAGTTTCTCATGCAACTTTGAACCTCACATAAACAAGAAATGAAACAACAGGAATTTTCAATATAGTGCGACTTGCCCCAGTTCATTTGTGTTTCTGGCCTGCTTCAGTAAAATTAAATGGCTTTGTTAAACTATGAGTATTTGCCATTATAGTGACCTGTTAAGGATGTCAGAAAATACTTCAGAGCAGCTTAAGAGGAAGTTAGTGTGTATTTCTCAAAATATAACCAAATCCCTAAACACAAATATATAATTAAATGACATACAAGTTTAACTATAAATGTAAAAGAAAACAAAATATGTAAAGTATTTACTGTTCTGGTCGACCTAATATTTTTTAGCATCTCTTTTAGTTGATAACATTCTTGATGCTCACCAAAATGCAAACCCATTGAAAAGCAATTCAAAAGAGGATGTCCCCAAATCCTGTTAATCCTGCCTCCTACAGCTCTCAAACCCAACACTTCCCGATGGTCACAATCACTGCCTGTCGGTGCCGCAGTCTTGACACTGGAATATACATAACGCAGGGAGTACCTGAAGACTTTCTAATCAGTATGAAGGACAGATGATTTGGGGAAACTCCTTCTAGAGTCCCAAATTTTATAAATACTGCTTCCAAAACCTGATCTGCCTGAGATGATACCTTCAGTCAGGCATCAGTCACAAAAGCTCTCATTTCCTGTCTATTAAGTAAAGTATAGTGGTGCACTGTCTTAAAGCACAAAACGCCTCTGGGTGCCAAAGAAACAATTCAAAATACTGGTGTGTTGAGAAGGATAATTACCCCACAGAATAACCCAACCTTTTGCAAGTTAAAGTTAGGTGGCTCCATTCCTTTGCTTTTAACAAAAATTAAGACTTTATGCCCGGCCGGGTGTGGCTCAGCGGTTAAGCATTGACCTAGGATCCAGGAGATCAGGGTTCAATTCCCGGTCAGGGCACATGCCCGGGTCGCAGGCTGCAGCTGATCAATGACTCTCTCATCATTGATGTTTCTATCTCTCTCTCCCCCTCTCCTTTCCTCTCTCTGAAATAAAGATATATTTAAAAAAAGACTTTAATAGAGTTACCAGCCAAAATATCATAAAACTTTTTTAAAGATAGAGCATTATGCCAGGCCCACATGGCTCAGCGGTTGAGCATCGACCTAGGATCCACGAGATCCTGGTTTGATTCCCAGTCAGGGCACCTGCCTGGGTTGCCAGCTCGATCCCCAGTAGGGGCTGTGCAGGAGGCAACCGATCAATGACTCTCATCATTGACGTTTCTATCTCTCTCTCTCTCTCCCTCTCTCTTCCTCTCTCTGAAATCAATCTATATATTTTTTTAATTTTTAAAAAAAGGCATTATTTGATTTTTGGCAAGTAACTCTGAAGAAGTTGAGAGTGACAGTGCCACATGAAGAAATCCTTCCATCTGCACTGACTAATGTGAAAAAGGTTTTCAGCACTGCCTTAGGTGAGGCCTTCATTTCATCCTTAGAAAGGTATCCAATCTGGTCTTCCCAACTCCTACTTTCCTTTTTTATTGATTTTAGAGAATGGAAGGGGATGAGAGAAAGAGAGAGAAACAATGATGTGACAGAGAAACTGATCGGTTGCCTCCCGCACATGCCCCAACCAGGGATAAAACCCGCAACCTGGGTATGTGCCCTGACCAGGAATCGAAAATGTACGAGATGAAGCTCCAACCAACTGAACCCCACCAGCCAGGGCCCTACTTTCCTTTCTAACATACTCTACGCTATTATCAGGTAAGTTAAAAAAAAGTTAGGCTGGCCCGGCCGGGCGTGGCTCAGCGGTTGAGCATCGACCTAGGATCCAGGGAATTGGGGTTCGATTCCCGGTCAGGGCACATGCCCGGGTTGTGGGCTCGATCAATGACTCTCTCATCATTGATGTTTCTATCTCTGTCTCTCCCTCTCTTTTCCTCTCTCTGAAATCACTAAAGATATATTTTTAATAATAAAAAAAAAAGTTAGGCTGTAAGTACATGGGAACTACTTATTAACCTGCTTAAAAATCTTGCCCAATTTTCTTTCTACCATTGGATTTTTACAAAGGGAAAAAGACCCCAACACCTCAGCGTGGTATTCAAGGCCTTCCGTCACCAATGACAACTTCTTACACTCATACCCCAGCCACTCTCTCCCTACAACCCACCCATGTCCTCTTGTACTACTCACGTGCCCCACACAGCCATGCCCCTTCACTCCGAGGACTTCCTCTGCCTGGGAAACTGCTCATTATTCAGGGCACATCACAAACTCCATGTCCTCTGAGCAGCTTTATGAAATCCCCAGATAGAATTAATGGAACTACTCATTTTTGACAATCATTACTGGAGCATCCATGCTGATTGAGAGATATACAGATGAACAAGACAAACTGTCATAGTCTGGTGAGAACAGAAATGTTATCTGGTAATTTACCATACATTGCTGATACTTCCACCAAGAAGTTATATCACTGAGCTGGAAGAATATAAGAACGGATGGCTTGATGGAAGGAAGGGATAGAATTTAATGCTAGTAAACTGTATAGCACATCAATCCCAGGTCTGCCAAAGCTCCAGCTTAGGAATAGTTAAGTATGTGCGCTCGAGTCAGTCATACCACCTAATTCAAATCCCGGCTCTACCAGTTATTAGTTCACAGAACATACTTAACTTTCCTAAACTTTTTACTCAACTGTATAATGGGAACTATAATAGTGCTAACACTTCAAAGCATTGCTCTATTGAATGAGGCAATGCACACCCAACACATAGCCCAGGGCCTTGTATATGGTAAACAGTCCATATAAATGTTAGCTTCTTTTATCATTAGTAACTATTCTGATGTACTGCCTTTTCTCTAACACTAACATTTTCTGTTATATTCTATAAAAATTATTTTTGAACCTCATTTCCTAGTTTGCAAGATAGGGAAACTGTTTTACATATGTTGTGGGGAGCCGGCGGGACTCCCCCCGGGGAGGACCCGCCGGGCGAGGTGCTGCCCAGGGAAAAAGACCCGGGAGGCCCGCTTGCCCTAGTGTCATCGAGAGAGAAATCTCTGAGGCATTGACCCGAGTGGTGGGCAGCGGTGCTAGCACTCGCCCTGCTCCCCCCGCTCCCCCTCCTGAAGGGCTTAGCTTAGCGTAATATTAACAATGCTTGTATGAGGAGTAGCTCAGCATGAGGCCAATATTAACAATGCTTGTATGAGAAAGTACCTTGATCCAGGAACCGTGGCCGGGTTAGAAGTGCAGCATGTCCCAGCTACCAATGATGTATGTACGAGAACAAGGAACAGGGCTACCAATGATGTATGCATGAGAACAAAGAGCTAGGTGGGGAACATACATGGGACAAAGGTTACTGATTTAACCGCTGCCTTACTGAATGCGCTATAATTACAAGCTGAAAAATAAACTCGGGGCTCAGTCACGTACTGAAGCCCTCCCGATCCCATCCTGTCTCTTGTCTTTCTTTTCCAATCCTCACCCCCTCAATCAGGTTACTGCTCGACTGCCGGCAGGCTCCGGCA